TCAAAAATATTTGATAAACTCAAAACTAGGAGCACATTATATATCTTCAACTTCGCAGAAAAAGAATGGTGTGGTTATTTATGTAAATAAAAAATTAACAGCGAAAGTTATAGAAGCAGATCAAGATGGTAGGTTTGTAGCAATTGAATTGCTCACAGCAAATGGTCAAATTCTTTTGATTGGAATTTATGCTCCCAACCAACAACAGGATTATTTTTATAAGATGTTACATACTAAAATATTGCAATGGGACTATAGATCTATTTTAATTATGGGAGACTGGAATGGAGTAATTGATTCTAAACTAGATAAAAAGAGCTTGGCAAAGTCTAGAATTAGACTACCACAGACTTTTTTTGATATGAAAGAAGATATGGAATTAAAAGATGTTTGGAGAATACATAATCCAAATGAATTGGACTACACTTTTTTTTCGGATAGACATAGATCTTTTTCTAGGATTGATTTTATCCTGTTGTCAAATGATCTACTTGTTAAGACAAAAAGAACAAAGATTTTTCCAAGAACTCTGACTGACCATAGCCCTGTATGGATAGAAATTGAGATGGATAAGGTTGAGAGACGTTCTTGGAGATTAAATGAGAACTTGTTTAGATATGAAAAAAATACAATAGAACTTAAAAAGCATTTGAAAGAATTTTTTGAAATAAATTTGAATAAAGGTACCCCAATTGAAATTGTTTGGGATGCAAGTAAAGCTTATATGAGAGGGGTACTCATCTACATGAATTCTAAACATAGACTGTTCCGACAAAAGAAAAGATTTGAGTTGGAAATGGAAATAAAGAATAAAGAACAGTTACTTATTAAAAACCCAACAGATGAAAGAATACGAAGTGCTATAAAACTTTTGACAGACCAATTTCAAATGCTTATGGCGGAACAAGTTGCAACAAGTTTACAATACGCGAAGCATAATACATTTTGCAACGCTAACAAACCGGGCAGATGGTTGGCTTACACATTGAGGAAAAAACAAAGTATACGGACTATTGATAGTATTGATATTGGAGGGAAAGAAATCTTTCAACAAAAACTAATTAAAGAAGCTTTTGTGGATTATTATACTAAACTATATGCCAAAGAAGAGGTGCAGAATGGACTTATAGAAAAATATTTAAAGGATAAGAGAGTTACAAAAATTACTGATCAACAAAAGGAAAGAATGAATTATCCTATAACAGAGGAAGAGATAACAGCAGCAATTAAACAGTTAAAAACAGCCAAAGCTCCTGGCACGGATGGCTTGACCGCAGTGTATTATAAAACTTTACAAGCTGAAATGGTGGGACAACTTAGAGATTTATTTTGCAATATTCAACAAGGGGGCAAAATACCCCCATCTTGGACAACTGCTTATATATCTTTGATACCAAAAGAACAAGTTGGTCCTAAAAAACCAGAGAACTACAGACCAATATCTCTTTTGAACACAGACTATAAAATTTATGCGAAGGTATTAGCCAACAGGTTGATGCCAGTAATCCAAAAGGTGATTCATGCGGACCAAGCGGGATTTATTGAGGGCAGATATATGAAGGACAATGTAAGGCAAGTAATAGACTTATTGGAATATCTTGACAAGAATAAACAGATTTCTGCAGTGCTGGTCTTTTTGGATGCGGAGAAGGCCTTTGATAGAGTGGATTGGAATTTTCTACTAAAGACTTTAAAAAAGATGGGCTTTGGGGACCAATTTATACAGGCGATCTCAGCAATTTATCAAGAGCAAAAAGCACAGATTATTATTAATGGAAGTTTGACGACAGAGTTTAAAATAGAAAAAGGAACAAGACAGGGATGTCCGTTGTCCCCACTTTTATTTATTTTAACATTGGAAGTCTTGCTAAATACAATACGGGACTCAAAAATTTTGAAAGGCATAATGATAAGGCAAGAGGATTATAGAATAAAGGCATTTGCAGATGATCTGGTGGTTACCCTATCACAACCAATGGAATCAACAATCCTGATGAACGACATTATACAAGACTATGGTAGAGTTTCAGGTTTTAGAGTGAACTCAAAAAAGACTAAAATGATAGTCAAAAATATGACACAAGATCGTAAACATGAGTTTGAAAGGAGGGCAGGTTTTGAAATTGTACCTAAGGTAAAATATCTTGGAGTTCAGGTTGCAGAATCAAACATGAAATTGTTTCAAAATAACTATGAGGTGTTGTGGCGAGAGGTTCAGAAAGACATGGAGACTTGGAAAAAGCTGCAACTGTCTTTACTTGGAAGAATAGCAGCAGTTAAGATGAACATTTTGCCAAGATTTCTGTTTTTGTTTCAAATGATTCCGGTGCTTAAAAGTGATAAACAACTGAAAGTTTGGCAAACTGGACTTAATAAGTTTGTCTGGAACGAGAAAAAGCCGAGAGTGAAATTGAAAATTATGCAAGATGTTCCAGAAAGAGGAGGCCTTAAACTTCCAAACCTACAGTTATATTATGATGCAGCAGCTTTAACTTTAACAAGTGATTGGTTTGGAAGTAAAAAGGCTGGAATATTGAATGCAGAAAGTTTTGATCTTGAATTTGGATGGCATGCTTACCTATTTTATGATGACAAAGTTGATAAAGTATTTAAAAGTCATATACTTAGAGACTCTTTGATGAGAGTTTGGAAGAAGCACCGACTCAAATGGGATTATAAAATACCGCTATGGCTGGATCTTGGTCATACCTTGTGGAATACAAATATAATGTCACTCGGGGGGTTTTTATACAAAGAGGTTCTTTTTACAGATGCGGGCAGATGGCAGCTGAAGACATTGCAGACACTGTTGGACGAAGGGATTAATTTAACCTGGTTACAATATAATCAATTACAATTGAGATGGAAAGAGGACCAAAAAACTGGTATTATGTTGCATGAGGAAGAATTGGTTAGACATATAAGAGAGAAAGGTCCAATGCATATTAAAAGGCTTTATAATGTTTTGCTAGAAAGGGATTCAGAAACGGAATTAGTTAAAGATTGCATGATTAAGTGGGCACAAAATTTTGAAGAACCAGTGATGTTGGAAACATGGGAAAAAATTTGGGTTCAGAATGTTAAATTTACACAGTCGCAGAATTTGAGGGAAAATTTTTATAAAATGTTTTATAGATGGCATTTAGATCCTAAAAAGTTGTCATGTATGTACCCTAATGTTCAGCCAAAATGTTGGAGATGCGAATGTTTGGATGCTACGTATTATCATGTTTGGTGGACCTGTAGGAAAGTTAAGGCTTTTTGGATAAAAATATGGTGGGTCATGCAGAATGTTTTGAAGAAAAAAATTCAATTTTCTCCACAATTGTTTTTATTGGGTATAGTTAAGGGTTTCACACGGGGTGAAATAAAATTAATATTGTATATGATAACAGCAGCAAGATTGTTGATAGGTAAATATTGGAAGAATGAAGCTTTGCCTACTATCGAGGAATGGACTTTGAAGATGGCCAGTTTTGCAGAGATGGCGAAGATTTCAGCATATTTAAAAGATTGTTCACAAGAGACTTATGAATGGGAATGGAAAAGGTGGATAGAATATGTTCAGAACAAATACCAAACTAGAAAGTACCAAATAGCTTTTATTTGAAAACAATGTATTAGAAATATCTTAATGTAAAGAGATAAAGAGGGAAAATTATATAGGGGGAGGGATGGGTTCAGGTATATATATCAGTGTTATTAGTTATGAGTACATAATAGGGAAGTCTGGGGGGGGAGGGTTAGGGAGGGTTAGGGAGGATGGGAAGTTTGGGGAGGGAGGTGGGGGGGTGAAAAAAGGGGTGAAAATGTAATTGTAAAACTTTTGCAATAAAAAAAAAAGGGTTGAAATTCCTATTTTGATCTTAAAGATAATTTTTATGAAATGATGTATTGTTGGTACATGATGCCAGAGAAATCTAGAATGTACTTCAAGTATGAAGCTGGTGGATGCAATTAGAAAACAGTCATGGAAAATTATCTCAATCTATGATTATTGCAGCAAGACTATTATATGCACACATATGGAAAGATTTGACATTACCCACTTATGGAAGGTTGGTGAAATTGACAAAACTTGCTGAGGTGGCTAAACTGACCAATTTGAGAAAGGTCATTACTGACATTCACTAGTCTAAAATAGCATAGAATTTTTTATTAATGTTATGGAAACTCAGACACAAACAGGTTATCACATTCAGCCATTTTATAATTTATTTCAAGTATGTATTAATTGCCCTTTTATTAACCAAGGATGGGAGTTAAAAATGGAGAACAAACCCAGCCATCCTTTCATAAAATTCCATAATTTAACTTAGTCCAATCATCCTAGATCCGTGATGGCAAACCTATGGCACGAGTGCCACAAGTGGCACGCCTAGCCATATAGGTGGGCACGCGAGCTCAGCTCCAGCGTATATGTGCGCACCAGCCAGCTGATTTTCAGGCCTTCTGGGCCCACTGGAAGTAGGGAAACACGCTGTTTCCTGCCTTCCGAGGGCCTAGGGGTGGTGGTGGGGAAGGCCCATTTTTTTCTCCCCCCAGCCTCCAGAGCCTTTCTAGGAGCCTGGGGAGGGCGAAAACCATCTCCCCACCCCGGAGGCCCTCCAGAGGCCAGAAATGGCCCATTTACCTGGGGAGAGAGAAAAACGGGCCTACTGGGCCCACCATGCCAGCACGTGCCAGGAGCGGGGGGGGGAGTGGGGAGGGGTCGTGCGTGCATGTGCGGGGTGCATAGAATTATGGGCATGGGCATGCGTGCGCGTGACCACCACCCCGCTCCTGGCACGCGATGGCAAAAAGGTTAACCATCATTGTCCTAGATGATTGTAATATCCATTCTCTTTTGCCAGAGATATCAGTTTTCATTTTCTGAGAGTGCATGAGACATAGGAATATTTTGTCTCTAATGCTATGAGCAATTACATAATGTTATAACAGAGTACATTTATATACAGTTTCATCGGAGAACAAAATATTGTTATGGTACTTAGACCTACAGGATGAGCAAGGCTTGGGTGAAGATCGGAAATGGCTACAATATTTTGTGACGAAATGGAATACGCCATTCTTTTTACCTGAAATTGGAGAAACCATGTCAGAAACCATGTCCTTTTAAAAACAGATTCAACTATTTAACTTATTTAATGTATTTAAGCTCTTGTTTTTTAGGAACAGTGCTTGACACTGATAGATATTGAGATTAGATATATGGAACTGCATGGACTGAGGAAAAAAAAACACAATTCAGGCTCCCAATAAAAGGATTTATAGTTGTATTTATCCATCTTGTAAAGCCATGAATTATTTTAATCACGGGTTGTTGAAGAAGACATAGTGATCTAGTCCATGACTTACTTCATATGGAATTAGCATATTTACATGATATGTTGTGATTTGTACATGATGTATGGCTTTACATAATAATTAAAGCAAACTATTTACATGGCTCAAACAAGACTCAGTTTGACATGTATCTGACTCAATTCCGTCACACAAACCATAGTTTAGACGTCCCATTCATGTGAAGTTGAGACAATACATTGTGCCAATGACTTAGTACCACTGTCGCTGTCAAAAAATAGAAAAAATGTGTGGCCTACGTTTGAAATATATTTTTAAATGCCGTTATGCTTTAATCTTGGGCTCTGAAGGAGAAATCTCTTGGGAGATTGAGGTAAATTCCCTTTTAAATGATATTGATTTAATTTTTTATTGCAACAGTTTTATGGCCATGCTTTATAGGTTTTTTTTAAAATTCTTGTACTGTTGTCTTTTGGTTGGCATAAACAGGATACAAATGGTATGCCAATGGCTAGAAAGTGGATTGTTATTGTGGTTTTGGGTAGTTTTTAAATTCTATTTGTAGGCTACACAGAACCTTTTGAAAATTGACCTGTTATTGGCACAATAAAAGAAGCATCCTTGTAATGCAAAATTGTGGGGCTTTTGTGAAGAAACGATTTTCTATATAGTTCTCTCTCTGTATATATTTGTTTTATATAATATTATATAGTAAATATTTATATTTACTACATTTGAGTATAACACAGCTCAAATATAGCAAATGTAAAACAGCCAGTATGGCAAGTGTGTGGGGCTGCTGCGTATTTTATTTTACTTTCTTTAATTTAGCCGCCCCACCCCCCAAGTGTAAGGACTAGAGTACCCAGAATCCCCAGCCTGCATGGCCAAGGACAGCTGGGAATTTGGAGAATTGTCTCCCCATTTTCATTTGGCTGACAAGAAGGCCGAAAGGAGCCCAGACCCAGTTTTTTTAACAATGTAAAACATGGGGGTGTGAATAACGTGCGTAAAGAAAACATTGTTTTATTTTTAAACAGTGCCTTTAAAAAGGCAAGGAACGCGCGAACCGACAAGCCGCCTCAGAGCGCCACTCTCCTCAACGCAATCGGCGAAGGGTGGAGGGAAAAAAAAAAAAAGCAGCGTGTCTCTCCGTGCGCAGGCGCGGCACTCCGAAACGCTGGATTGGCACTGCGCAGGCGCGCCTTCTCTTTTCTCCCGGACTCTTTTAAATACCCCGCGGGTAGTTGCGACGACGCCCCCTACCGGACGCGATGTTTAGAATGGCTCAGCCTTTGCAGGAATACGATTCCCCATCCTTGCTTGCTCTTGAGAGATTCGAGTTCAGAACTTTTGTGGAAGGAAGTTCGGTGGGTTCGCTACTGCAAAATCTCCATTCCCACCCCACTCCAGGGAAAGGATACTGCAAAATCCCCATTCCCTCCCCACTCCTGGGGCCAGCCAGAGATGGTACTTGCTGGTTCTCTGAACTATTCAAAATTTCTGCTACCAGTTCTCCAGTACCTGTCAGAACCTGATGGATTTCACCCCTACCCTCTACCATTTCAGACAAGGGGCTGTCCGGGTTAAAAGAAATGCTCAGATTGCAATTTGGTTTCCCAGCACAGAATAGAATGAATGAGCTGGAAGGGACCTTGGAGAACTTCTAGTCCAGCCTCCTGCTCAAGCAGGAGATCCTATACTATTTAAGATGAGTGACTGTCCAGGCTCTTCTTAAAAACCTCCAGTGATGAAGCACCCATGATTTCTGGAGGCAAGGTGTTCCACCGGATAATTGTTCTCACTGTTATAAAGTTTCTCCTTAATTCCAGGTTGCTTCTCTCCTTGATTAGTTTCCATCCATTGTTTCTTGTCTTGCCTTCTGGTGCTTTGGAAAATAAATTGACCCCCTCCTCTTTGTGGCAGCCTCTCAAATATTGGAATACTTCTATCATGTCTCCCTTAGTCCTTCTTTCCTCTAGACTAGACAAACCCAAATCCTGCAACCATTCTTCATATGTTTTAGTCTCCAGGCCTCGTTGCTCATCAGTTGCTCTTCTCTGAACTTCTCCCAAAGTCTCAACATCTTTTTTGTAGTGTGGTGACCAAAATTGTATCCCAGTATCCCAGGTGTGGTCTTACTAGGCTTTATAAAGCAGTACTAAATACTTCACGTGATTTAACAGATTAACAGAATTGGCAAGGTCTTTATAGGTCATCTAGTCCAAACACCCCCCCCCCCCAAGCAGGAGACCCTACACAATTCCTGACAAATGGCAGTCCAATCTTTTCTTGAAAGTCTCAAGTGATGAAGCTCCCACAACTTTCGAATGCAACTTCTGTTCCATCGGTTGATTGCTCTCTCACTATCAGAAAATTCCTCCTTATTTCCAGGTTGAATCTCTCCTTGTTGTTTCCATCCATTATTCCTTGTCTGGCCTTCAGGTGCTTTGGAAAATAGCTTGACCCCCATCCTTTCTGTGGCAGCCCCTCAGATATTGGAAGACAGCTATCCTGTCTTCCCTGGTCCTTCTCTTCACTAGACTAGCCATGCTCAGTTCCTGCAACCGCTCTTCGTATGTTTTGGTCTCCAGTCCCCTCATCATCCTGGTTGCTCTTCTCTGCACTCTTTCTAGAGTCTCAACATCTTTTTTTATAGTGTGGTGACCAAAACTGAATGCAGTACTCTAGATGTGGTCTTACTAAGACTTTATAGAGTGGTATTAGTACCTCCCTTGATCTTGACTGTATCCCTCTGTTAATGCAATTTAGGATTGCATCAGTTTCTTTGACTACTGCCACACACTGTTGGCTCATATTTAACTGGTTATCCACTAAGACTCCAAAATCCCTCTCACAGTTACTGCTATTAAGCCTGGTTTCACCCAATCAATATGTGTAGTTTTGGTTTTTTCTGGCCTGTGTAAAACTTTACTTTTCTGTACATTGAATTTCATTTTGTTAGATTGGGCCCAGTGTACAAGTCTGTCAAAAAAAGAATTTTGATTCTATGCCTCTGTTTATACAACCAACCTCCTGGTCTCTCAAGTCTGTCCGCAAACGTTGTGACCAGGATAGGGCAACATAGTTTTCCCTCTATCTTTTGACTGCTTTTAGTGGCTGGGGTTTTCCACTCAGATTGGAACATAGCTTAGTGCAGTATTTCTCAACCTTGGCCACTTTAAGATGGGTGGACTTCAACTCACAGCATGCCCCAGCCAGCTTTGGAAAGGCAATGGCAAACCAAAAAACTTGGGGTTTTTTTTTGTGTGTGTGTGGGGGAAACTTGCCAAGAAAACTGCAGGAACTTCTCCAGGGGGGTCTCCAAGAATTGGAAAAGAAGGAAGTGTTTTATAAGCCTTGTTGATTACATTGAAAAAGTAGCCTAAAAGGAAGGCTTGTTTTACTGCCTTAGTTAGATTAGAATAGGGGGAGTGAGGACAATTAATCAGTGGAATGAGTGGCCTCCAGAAGTTGTAGGTGCTCCAACACTGGAGGATTTTAAGAAGAGACTGGACAACCATTTGTCTGAAATGGTGTGGGATTTCTTGCCTGAGCAAAGGGATTTTACTAGAAGACCACCAAGGTCCCTGCCAACTCTGTTATTCGGTTATCCATTGTACACCAAGTCTAATGTTGTCATATAATTTATTGAAAAATAGCAGGAAGTGTTTGTTGTTGGGACTCCTTAAACTTTGCCCACTTTCAGATCAAGCTGAAGACAACCTTATAAATGATTCACTTTCAGTGTAACCTTAGCAAATATGAAGCAAACACAATCCAAACATCAGGAGCAACAATTGAGAAAATAAAGACTACTTGGCTGTGCATGAAATGGATTATTTTTCATTGCTACTCTGAGCATTATTGTAAGTTCCGCTGTGTTCAATGGCTATTACCCCGTAGTAAATCTGTTGTAGGATATTTAGTGACAGGTTGTATTGGAAAATGCTGAGAGCCAGGTTCAAATTGCTTAGCAAGGTTATTGCTGTGAGGGACTCTGAAACCTCTAAGAAAGGTGCAAAATTTTATCAATAGCTATAATTGTTAGAGGCCATCCAATTCCTTCTTCCTATTGTGAATTGCTAATTGTTAACTGTTTTAGAGTTTTCTCATAATTTGTATTCTTTTTTTTAATTTATTATATTATTAGTCCTTTTCTTGTGCATGGTCTGAGACCGAGAAAACAAAATGATTTGATTTGAATGTAGTTTTTACAATTTTTAAAAATTGATTTCTACTTAAACACAGTGGAATAATAAGATTTTGAAAACAACATACTTTTTAGCTGAAGAAGCACTTGAAGATTAAAGCATTATTTTATTATACTATTTTAAGACAACATGTACCCTGGGCAAAGAAAGCTGTTGAATAATTAAGCACTTTTCTTAACAATAAAATAAAGTTCAGTATAAAAAAGGCTAAATGCTTGGTTGAGAGACTACCAAGAAATCCTAGGACTGGAGGTTAACAGAATAATAGAATAACAGAGTTGGAAGGGACCTTAGAGGTCTTCTAGTCCAGCCCCCGGCTCAAGCAAGATACCCTATACCATTTCAGACAAATGGTTGTCCAATCTCTTCTTAAAGACTTCCAGTATTGGAGCATTCACAACTTCTGGAGGCAAGTTGTTCCACTGATTGATTGTTTTAACTGCCAACAAATTTCTCCTTAGTTCCAGGTTGCTTCTCTCCTTGATTAGCTTCCATCCATTGCTTCTTGTCTGACCTTCTGGAGCTTTGGAGAATAGCTTGAACCCCTCCTCTCTGTGACAGCCCCTCAAATATTGAAAGACTGCTATCATGTCACTTGTCAGGGTTCCAAGTAACACCCCCAATGAAAAAAGACTCTGAGACTTGAAGTTCCTCAGAGTTCCATTTTATTAGAGATGTCATATTGGCACATCTGGGAAAACCCAAATCTGAACGTTTCTAGGTTTTCCCCAACCAAAAGAAAGTTCAAATCCCTGTCCAGCATCCACATGTCCATCACATGGCCCAATCCAAGCATCATCCCAACTGGAGATGCCTCCCAGTTCCAGCCCTCCAGGTGCAGGGCAAGAATGTTATTATGACTATATATCACCCTGGCTCCACACAATCCCCCTCCCAGTTTCTCACAGTAGTAAATATGGCAGGCCTGAAGATCCAACGAAAAAGATGGCTTCCAGGGCTGATATTAGTCCTTTTTTTCATTAAACTAGACATATCCAATTCCAGCAACCATTCTTTATATGTTGCACTAGGTTAGACAGGTTATACTGGGAAGTAGAAAAAAAAAAATGTAATGAAAGTAATGGCATGATAAAAAGTCTCCAGGGATTGAAGTGTGTATCATCGTCATCTCCATCTCCCCCCATTCCAAGCAGATACCCCCAACTGTAGACCTTCCTCATATGAGGGTTCCTTAACCTCTGATCATTTTAGGTGGCTATACATGTAGATACCTAAGTGGTGTGTTGGGCTAGAGGTGGAGCTCTTGCCTCCCAATCAGGAGGCTGTGAGTTCGATCCTAGGTATAGAGGCGGATATTTCTCTCTCTGGGCACAGTGAGAATATACTGTATCTGCTGAACAAAACTCCACATTGGCGACAGGAAAGGCATCCGGCCAGTAAACACACAGCTCCATTCAGTTGCCCAGACTCCACCCTGCAAAGGATTATGGGGTCATAAAAAGGAGATGATGATGATACCTAAAAACTCTTCTGAAGCGCAATGACCAAAAACTGCACACAGTGGTCAAATGCAAGCAGAATTGTTAAATGACATTGTGGCTTCAAGTTCTGTATACAAAGATGCCAAAAGCTTTGGATTTTGGGTCTGCGCAGAAGGAAAATGGAAGAAAGAACACAACAGCCCCAAACTCTGTAATGCGGAAACATTTTAGTACTTCGTTTGAAAAAAAAAACAAAAAACCCCCCCTATATATTGCTTTACTCTGAAAATCTGTTTTCGCTCATCCATAGCAG